CACACACACACACACACACACACACATGTGCGCGCGCGCGCGGAAATCCGCGCACATACACGCCCAAAGGGACCGGTGCCGCGCTGCGCCTAGGGTTGATTTAGGGTAGTCGGTTGGCATTTGGGAAGCCCCCCGGCTGCCGGCGGACCCGCGCCAGCGATCACCCTCCTCCCTCTGGACCGGGGGGAGGCACACCAAGCCGCCATACCGCCCCACCCAGAGGCTGAGGCCGAAGCGAGGCGGGAAGCCTGTTCGATGGACACGATCATTGTGTGCGTGTGTGTGTGCGGGGGAGGGGGGGGGGGATGATGTTTCACCTCATTAACACCAGGGCGGCCCGGCGCGCCCGCGGCCCGGGGGGAGGCTGGCGGGTACTGCGCGTTGGCGATGGCGTCGCCCCCCCCCCCTCCCCCACTCGCCACCACTTGGGGGGAGGTGAGCACAGTGGCCGGGGGAATGTGCGAGCCCGGGGAGAAGAGGCTGGCCCCCAGCACATGCGCATTTGCACGACAATTCAGGGGGATATTTGACAGCCATGTGGATGAGGCAGGGTTCTTGCCGACTCAACTTTACGTCAAAGGAGCGAGGCTTTGACGGAGGCTATGCCGTAAATCTCGCCGCTGGCCAGTGACCATCCTCGGCCAAAGGAGGGGCGTGCCGGACCAGCATGGGGGGGAGGGACAGTGTTACTTGCGAAGGGGGCGCGCGGTGATGCGGCCCAGGGGGGGAGGCCCGAGTTAGTGGGCAAGCAACATGGACAACACTTCGGGCAGCCAAGGGCTTCCCCTCTCGAAGCCTTGGAACAGACGCTCGCAGGCCGAGGCTTCGAAGGCCATCCTTTCGCATACTCTCCGATACACACGATCATCAGCTGCTAAGGCTTTCTGCTCTCAGGAGGCTCTCTCAATGGGCGCCCGCCTTCGGGCCTTGTGTTGGCCGAGGGCCGGATTTGAGTACCCCCGCGTAGACGCGTGTCGCCCCCCCCCCTCTTGCCTGGGCCTTTTGCCCGTAATGGGTCCCCGGTACCGGGAGGCCTCCCGGCTCCCGTGCGACCCCGCATTCCTCCACCGATGGAATACTATTCCGCTGTGCCTGACTGCTTCACGGGATCCACTTATGGGGTGTTAACTGACCAGTGATTCGATTCGCGGCGCTGGGGATGCCATGTCATCCGATGTAGCAGGGTTCTCACGGATCCAGTCTTACGTCAAAGGAGTGAAGCTTTGACGGAAGCTATACCGGAAATCTTACTACTGGTTAGGGACCGCTCGGGCATGAAGGAGGGCGTACCGAACCAGAAGGG